ATGTCTACTTGTATAACAAATAAAGAAATTCCGTTAATAAAAATAAAACTTTGCAAATCGATTAAGTATATTCAAACATATATCTGGCGAAAAATACTATTTAAAACAGTTTAATTTCTGGGCAATTTCGGTCAAAAATCGAATTAAAAAAGTGAATATTTCGGGATTTTTCAAAATGGCGGATGATGTATATGGAAATGTTGCATCAAATCGAGGATTTGTGTAGTAAGACTTTCCTTGATTAAATTTAATTTTTCATGTAGAATCTCTGATGTTTCTGTTATTTTCTTTGGTGACATTTCGATATGATTGATTTCAAAATTTCTTGATAAAAAAAATATTATTTTAAGTGTGACACGGGAACATTTTATTTTGACAGATATCCAGGATATACTGTTACCAGAAAATTGTTAACAATAAAATTTATAATAAAATTTTTTCTCTTCTTTTTTAAAATTTTTTTTCCCTGTTTTCTGTATAATTCATCTTTCTTTAGAAATATATTTATACTTTCCTTTTAGAACAAAAAAATATTTACGTCCCAAGAGAGAAAAAAATCCCAACAATTATTATAGATAAATATTCCATACCTTCAAAATCCCATCACTTGACGAACAGGTGAACTCTGACTTTGGATGTAATGTTACATAACAATATATTGTCAGGTAGACGTGCAAACCAAAAGCAACCAGGTGACATTAAACATCCTGTGTATACATGTATTACCAGAGTTTAAATTTTGTGATATACAAAAGTTTTCATAACTGTACAAATAAATATCTTCTCTTCCCCGTGTCAAACCAGAAGAAGTATGTATCATAATAAACTTTAAGAAAATATGAATATTATAAAAAAAAATCTTTAAAAAATTAATTTTTGCTATAAAAGATAATCAAACTAATATTTATGTTTCTATAATTATTTTAAAGAAATATTTTGATTCAAATCTTAATTTAAATGGATTTTGTATTATTTCGTAAAAAATTAAACGAGATTTCATTGAATATGATTTTATTATTTATTTTTTTAATTCAATATTTTAAGCAAAATCCAGGCATTCAATAAATCGATATAAAGTTAAACTTGTGTAAAAAAATTTGTTATTGTATACATTTCAACAGAGACATATAATACAATTGCTCCGATTTCAACAACATTGTATACCCGACAATATTTATCGACAGAGTTATCGGTCCTGAATAGGACTGATATAGTTGGGTATGAGCCGTCTTTAGCTGATGAAAGTGGAAAATCACGGTTTTCGCTTTGTAGTTTAATTCATTCAGAATAGCCTTGTATATAAATTGTAGTGGCTTACAAAACTTAAAAGGCTTATACATTTTTTTTAGATTTACCAATATCTTTTTTGGGGGAATGTATTAACACTGGAAACGGAGGGGCAATGTCTTAATCATCTGCGTTTGTAGCAAACTTTTGAAAATATTTTTTTTTTATTTTCAGTTTTTTCTGATAGATGGACTTAGTTTTTTACAGTTAACATTTACAGACAGTCTGGTATTTAACTTTTTTTGACGTTTTTAAACCTTCATGGATTTGTTATGAAACTTTGATATAAGCTAATCAAGACCAGGAAAAAGCATCTAAAGAAAAATTATGCTACATATTATAGCTAGACTTGGGAGGATAGAGAACTTAAAATATTGTAATGACATGTCAATTTAAAAGACCGTATGTTGAACTTTAGAAGTAAATTGTTTTGTTTGTTGTTTAATTGGGTTGCTTTCTAAATACATTATGTATACTTCACATCTTTTAAATCTTGCATAAATATCAAAACATACATGTATAATTGCTTTTATCGTCTGAGAGTAGTTTTGTTTTATTCTTCTTATATTCCCCTTTGGAGTTTTTTTTAGTCATCTGTTCTTCAACGTCTGCTATCTTGATAGGAAGAGCTAGGGAGAGCTAGACAACGTCCAACCCAGCCCACACCCGGATCCCCTAAAGATATTGGGGTATGTGGAAGGCCGGGGGGCACTTATTATAATGAGTGGAGGGGATGAGCCGCTGGTCGAGAAATTTAGGTGAAATATATAACAAGGTGGATGATTGTGAATCTGAAACTAATCAGATGTCGATATTTTTTTTACAGATGCAATCAAAATTACTGTCGTAAATGCTTAAGACATTTGCCAAAACTATTCATCTCCCGTTGACTGAATAGCGTAACAATGATAGCTATATGTAGGTATAATTATTGTAAAAAAAATATGATAGCTATGGTATGTTCTTTTGTTATTCACGATATATGAAAAGGTCGGGTATTGGATGTCTAAGCTAGTCACCCATACCATAAAAAGGTCGAAGTGCCGCCGCCCCTTGAGATGACATAAAGATTCCATTGTAAACTAATATTAATTGAAAATAAATGATTTGGATATCTCCGTTTTCAATGTTTTTTCTGCCTTTTGATTATCTTACTAAGAATTAATATATATAAACTAAGAAAAAAGCATGCGCGATGTTTTCATGTATTAAATGTAAAAGTTAAATAATCACGTGTGTGTTTACAAAATTTTAGGAGTTTCGGCTATTTATAGATAAGTGTTACCTGTGCACCGATATGCATGATTGGTAACTAGGCAAAATCTAATTGCTAAAATAAAGAGTTCAAATCCGACACTCTACGGGATTAACAGACATTAACTAGGTTGTGATTGTCCCAACCAATCATCGAACTTCACTATTATAGAGTCAGTTATTATCTTCCATCCAGATAGTAAGAAGTATTCAGCCCGCAGACTTTGCATCGTTCAACTCTTTAAGACCGTCTCCCAGTTGACGGTAACCAATGATTGAATGAACCATGAAAATGAGGTCAAGGTCAGATGAACCCTGCTAAACGAACATAATTACCTACAATCATTACATTCACCTAAACAAATTGTCCTTTTTCTTATGTACATTGTATGTCATAGTATCGGAGAAACAGAACAAGGGGGTCATTAATCCATGAACTAAGGCCAATGTTTAAAGAACCCTGTCTGACGGGCAGATATATACCCTTCATTGATTCTATATAATATCTGAGATTACTATAACAATAATTATATACTGTGTTATAGTAATCTCATGTTGACTGCTGTACCAGAGCTTTTGACGTTTTTACCTATTATGTCTGTTTGTTTTGCTCACACATTGTTGTCAATGGAATTCTATGCGACTGTCATACAAGTGAGAGGTTTAGCTAGCTATAAAACCAGGTTTAATCCACCATTTTCTAATAAGGAAATGCCTGTACCAAGTCAGGAATATGACAGTTGTTTTCCATTCGTAAGATGTGTTTGAGCTTTTGATGGTGCCATTTTATAAAAGGACTTTCCGTTTTGAATTTCCCTTGGAGTTTGGTATTTTTGTTATTTTACTTTTTTCAGATAATGTATATACCAAATAAACTTGTCCTTTTTCTTTATAATAACTAATAACTTAAAAATAAAGAAAATAAAATGCTCTGCTGGACGCAGCTTGATACGACCGCAGAGGTCGAACCCTGAACAGTTGGGGCAAGTATGGACACAACATTCAAGCTTGATACAGCTCTGAATTTGGATTGTGATTAAATATTTGACACAGCATAGGTTTCTGACACAGAATGAATGTGGTCTAAGAACTTAAAAATTTTTAATTTACCTATTCAAACCATATCATTATTATTTGCTTTTATATATAAATCAGAAATAACCAATTTAAAATGGAAAATTTTAAAGAAAAAAAAAGGAAAAAAAATTTTTTGAACCCCCTTATGATTCATCAACCCCAAGCTCAATCCCAGCCTTCCCTTTGTGGTATGGTACCTTGCAGTACAATTTCAGAGAAATCCAAATACTTGAACACAAGTTATTGTCTGGAAACTAGAAAAATGCTTGTTTTTTTGCCCCAAATTCCTAAACGTTTAGGGCAATTACCCCCAAACTCAAACCCCGCTTTCCCTTTGTGATATGGAACCTTGTAGTACAATTTCATAAAGATCCATACACTTACACACAAGTTATTGTCCTGGAACTAGAAAAATGCTTGTTTTTTGCCCCTAATTCCTAAAATTTTGAGGCAATTACCCCCAAAATCAATCCCAGACTTCCCTCTGTGGTATGGTACCTTGCAGTACAATTTCAGAGAGATCCATACACTTGAACACAAGTTATTGTCTGGAAACTAGAAAAATGCTTATTTTTGGCCCCTTATTCCTAAACGTTTTGGGCAATTACCCCCAAACTCAATTCCAGCTTTCCCTTTGTGATATGGAACCTTGTAGTACAATTTCAGAAAGATGCATACACTTACACACAAGTTATTGTCATGAAATTAGAAAAATGCTTGTTTTTTGCCCCTTTTTAGGCCCCTAATTCCTAAAATTTTGAGGCAATTACCCCCAAAATCAATCCCAGCATTCCCTTTGTGATATGGAACCTTGTGGTACAATGTCAGAGAGATCCATACACTAACACACAAGTTATGTCTGGAAGTTACAAAAATGCTTATTTTTGGCCCCTAATTCCTTAACTGTTGGTACCATAACCCCCAAAATCAATCCTAACCTTCCTTTTGTGGTATTGAACCTTATCGTAAAATTTCATAGAGATCCATTCACTTAAACTAAAGTTAGAGTGCGAAAACCAATGTGTCTTCGGACGACGACGACGACGCCAACGTCATACTAATATACGACCGCAAAATTATTTTGCGGCCGTATAAAAAGAAAAAAAAACAGATCATTAGCCATAAATGTATACAAGATATGAAGTATCCAGGTCTTCTACGTTCTGAAATATTAACATGTTTAAGCTTCATTCAAATAGTACACGTCGTGTCGACACCAACACACCCGCCAAATGAGCATCACATTGGTTTCTCAATTTACGACATTCCTCGAATGTGAAGACGTATATCAAGTAAAACACAATTATCTGGGTTTTCATATCGTGCATTTACTTTTTGTGATTTGATTTGTGTACCGGTAAAAAATGGACAAGAACAAAAAGTTGATATTTCGAACATACATGTATTTTTTAACACTCAATATCGAACAACATCTTTCATTAATTTATACATGGTACATTGTAAAATTACAATATGTCGCTTAACGCTTTGTTAGATCACGAAGAAAATACCAATTATGGCGAAGAGTATTAAAACTCTCCAAAGATATTCGGCATATATGCGTGTGTTAATTACTATTATATTAATATATGTGTTATTGTTGGTGAAAGCCACGAATGTCACCAGTCAAAGTCCTTTATGGTTGTATCTATACGGCCACAGGCGGTTTGTTATCAGCGTCAAATGGCCAGTAATTGATCTATTGCTGATATCTATTGTGGGCCTTTGTTTGAATTTCTACTCTTACATGCAAATTCATCACAAATATCAATAAGTTATCTTATGTCCGTCTCTCACACTTGATCACATTCAATGTTTAAACGCCAAGTTTATTGCATTCATCACTCATGTACGCTTTATCATCTTTATCCGTGTGCTGTCTCTGGTGTTTGTAGAGATTACTACTTGTGTTAAACAGTTTATCACATATAGAGCATGAATATGGTTTTTCACCAGTATGCGTTCTCATATGTACATGTAAGTTACTAGATTTAGTAAATCTCTTCCCACAAACATCACAGTTGTATGGTTTTTCGCCTGTGTGTGTTCTTATATGCTCCTGTAAGCTACTAGAAGAAGTAACTCCTTTATCGCAAATGTTACATTTATATGGTTTTTCACCCGTATGAGTACGTATGTGAGCCTTTCTCACACTTGTCGAAGAAAAATGCTTTCCACAAACATAACATTCAAAAGGTTTTTCACCACTATGCGTTCTAACGTGTTTTTGAAGGTTACTGCTGCTGCTGAAATCTTTTTCACACAGATAACATTTGTAAGGTTTGTCCCCAGTGTGTATTCGCAAATGTTCCTTTACGCTTCGTTTCTCACTAAATGATTTACCACATATTTCACATTTAAATGGTTTTTCTCCAGTATGTGTCCTCACATGTGCTTCAAGAATACTAATCGCTGCAAATCCCTTTCCACATGCAAAACATTTATAACGTTTCCGATCTCTTTTGATGTGTTCATTTAATTTATCACTGAGGCAAAGATCTTTAGAAGTTTTTCCAGCAATGTTTCCCTTAATGTGTTTAATGAAATCAAGATCATTTCCTTCATCACCTCTTTTAGTGTGATAAGATTTGTCAGCGATATCACCTCCTTTGCTGTGATCAGGTTTATCGGCGATATCACCTCCATTGCTTTTAACAGGTTTATCGGCGATATCACCTCCATTACTGTTAACAGGTTTATCGGCGATATCACCTCCATTACCGTTATCAGGTTTATCTGCGATATAAGAGGGTATTCCATTACTGTTCTCAGGTTTTTCGGCGATATATACCCTTATGTTGTAATTAGGTATATCACCTGTATGTTTTCTCTTGTGACTCCTCAGATTAGGCTTGGTGTAAAATCCTTTTCCACATACATCACATTTGTAATTTTTTTCACCAGTATGCATTCTCATTACATGTTCCAGTAAGCAGGATTTCAGACGGAAACACTTACCACACATATTACATTCGTGATTTTTTTCACCTGTATGTATTCCCATGTGTGTACGTAGATTACTGCTCTGACTAAAGCCTTTACCACATTCATCACATATATAGGGCTTATCACCTGTGTGTGTTCTTATGTGCTTCTGTAGGTCTCCATTACTTTCAAACATCTTATTACAGTAATTACATTTAAGACATTTTTCACTACTTTGTTCACCCCTTTGTTGGCGAGTGTCAACCATCTGATAAATTCCGTTACCAGAAATATGTGTTGCTATTTCCATATGTAATAAATTGTCTTGAATGGGATCCTTACCATAAAGAGGAATTCCCGTCATAATTAATGACTACGTGCAAGTGAAACACCACAAGTTCGATCTGAAAAGTAAATATATACATTGTACATATGTACATAATGAATATGTATTATTACTGTCTCCCCCCTTGACCGCCAAATAATTGATGCAAAAACTGTTTCTAAAAGAATTTCTGAGACAAAAAATAATATCTTTCATTTCAGATCACCTGGAATAAAGGCGCGGGTCCAGCCATTTTGTAAAGTGGGCCAACCCCCGGAACACAATGAACATTCACATAACATGATCTTTTTTTTTTTGTGGTAATAAGCATTGAGTATAAGTTTTATAACATTTGGTTGAGGCAAACTAAAGTTAGAGAACGGAAACCAATTTCGTGACGTACCGTAAGGCGATACGGCGGGGCATAATAATTGAAAAAATGGTACATCAACCCACCCTTAACTATCCAACTCTGTCAATGCGGGATAAATTATGAAATAGCTAAAACAATATGGATTCTCTATCTGTTTTGTTTATTTTTTTGTAAATAATAGATAACAAAACATGATATTTTACGCTGCCCTCGTCATGATCGTAGACAAAATAGATATAAATCTATTAAGAAAAGATATTAGGCAAAAAGAATTTGTAGATATTGTTTTGCTTATCATATTTGCCATTTAAAGTGTCTACCTAACGATTATAGTTTTCGAGATATTATGGGCAAAAATGCGAAAAAAAATGGTAAAAATCGTCATTACAGTGCAATGACTCCAAAAAGGAGTCATTTGACGATTTCAGCTAAGTTGAATTGTTTGTAGATCTTGTCTTGCTGATCAGTTTTGCTATTTACAGTTCATCTCCATTATAATTTTTCAAATAATAGGCAATAGAATGCTTCGCTGAGCGCAGCTGGATACGACCGCAGAGGTCCAACCCTGAACAGTTGGGGCGAAAATGGACACAATATTCGCGCTTGATACAGGTCTGAATTTGGATTGTAATAGACCAGTTTCACATAAGCGACTTATCTACCATGATCAGGCGATCACCGTAGCGCTTAATTTAAAATCTCGCGTTAATTAAGGACGATTAACGAGACTGGGGCTAACGACCTTAACGACCGGAGCAATCAATCGACTGTATAGCCAGTCAAGGTCGTTAAAAACTTTCATTTGTTGTCAATCGATACGTGATGTATTGTAATTAATTACACCTTATGTAAGAATTCTGGGTTTTGATTGGTTGATAGCCAGTGTATTTTTCACCAATTTACTTTTATCAAATGAATATCGTTCATTTTTAACAGCGCCAGGGGTATATGCAAAAAGGATATGCCTTTCTTACCCGTGGTATTTGCCAAAAAATACTCTATCCGACTGGACGCTTGTAATGTCACGATCATCAATGCGTATTGTACGTTAACATTCGGTGTAATTAAACAGATATAGCATGTTCTTGAGGGGTATTTGCGAAAAATACCAGTCTTGAGAATGAATTTCCCTCGCCTTACGGCTCGCGAAATTTAACATTCTCTCGACTGGTATTTTTCGCAAATACCCCTCCTTAACATGATATATCTGTTCAGTACACACGACCTGTGTCACTGTGTATTACACTTACAGGTAAAGAGACAGTGACAACTAACGAGTGTGTCGGCATCATGAAGGTATTCGGACTACTGTCAGTTCTATTAAATGACATTAAACAGATATTACAGGACGGAGATTTACAGACTTTTAACAATGTCAGACTCAGAACTTATTTTTTGACTTCCCCATCAAGGATGTCAAATCGGTTCTTACGTACATGGTTCGAAAGTTTGCAGTGTACATGGGACAAAAATCTAAACGATATACCTGATTTTGACCATGCAAAATTAAAGGTTTATTTGTGTGAAAGCACAAGTAAAACGTTTGACAAGGAAAGTTTGCGTGCTTACAAATCCCTGAAGGCATACACGTTTTTTGAAGAGGGCTATGTGCAGAAATTACTAAAAACTCGACTTCAAAGTGATGAATCAGAGACTTGAGTATTATATTGTAAAGGCAGATGTAATGGCATCAATGGCACAAAGAATTTACAAGACCTATGTATGCTTCCGTATGAATGATGGTGGAATTTCTGGTGGTGCATGTTCTTGTGTTGCAGGGTATGTATTTAAAAAAACAAACTTTTTATTAAATTTCTTGAAATAAAGTTAAGTCTGCACTGGGACTATTATAGTAACAGTATAATAGTCCCAGGTTAAGTACAAAACACTGTCAGGTCTTTTTCAATTATCATGGTTATATCAAGGATTTGTAGTGTCCTTTATTATATGATAAAATTGAGAATGGAAATGGGGAATGTGTCAAAGAGACAACAACCCGACCATAGAACAGACAACAGCAGAAGGTCACCAACAGGTCTTCAATGCAGCGAGAAATTCCCGCATATTTATTATGACATTGGAAACAAAAATTATACATACATGTATATGTACAAACAAAAATTTCCTTTTTTAATCACAATAATTGTTGCTATTTACAGTTTTACTTTTTTATCAACACTGAAACAATTTGAATTATATTTGAAACCTATTTTATATCATTCAACCATGTCAACATGGTTAGTATTTACCATGTTTACAGTTATATTTATAACTCAGAACTGTCATGACAGTTAACGTGTAAATCTATGTGTTCCTGCGTTTCAATTTTCAATTGATTAACAGAATGAATTATTTTTGTTCTTGCTATTTTACCCATTTCGTCTCGAAAATCTATTTAATATTTGCCCCTGGACATTTATCAAACTACACTCAGTCGTTTACCCATCTGCAGATTATTGATGTTAATACATAGATTAATGTGAAAGTACTACTTTTTCAGAAAAGGAGAGGCATGCAGTCATATAGATGCAGATGCATTGCTGTTTGCCCTGGAAGATTTTATCTCAAATGGTTTCAAAGACTTGCCAGTGGCCAAGACAGTTACAGATAAGTTGTGTAGTTGGAACAAACCTGCTAAAAGAAAAGTGGAGCCGCAATCCATACACAACATCAGGATTGTAAAGTAAGTATACATGTATTTTTAAATTATACTGGTGCATTGTACCAAGGATTAATTTTGTATAGTGTCCTTGATTGTACATAAGTGTATTCTAAATTGCATATACAATGTAGGTAGTCAATGATTTCAGAGTGACTGTCATAAAAATTAGCAGAAATCCTAAATTACACATTTTTCAGCAATTTGTAGCAAGAAAAAAACTTGTCCAAATGCAAGCATGAAAGTGTTTAAATTGCACACTGAGTTTATGCAGATACCATTTATCATCATGTGTAGGCTACATTTTGTACCCAGTATAATTTTTTTTTCTATTTGTGACATGTATTATATTGCTTCCCATTGTTTTCATGTGTTCTTATATCTTTCAAATAAATGAGTTGTCCTGGACATGCTTGAAATATTTGCCACTGGATGTTATTTAATCAGCAATCAATTTAATAACATTCATTGACATTGTGTTACATTTGTTAACCGCAAAAATCACATAAATATTTCATTGACTGTGTCAAAGAGTATGGGAAATGGGGTTTGTGATCTAGTAAAAAATTATTTTAAATTTATGCTAGTTTTAATAAGAAAAAAATTAGATATCATCAAATTACATGTGCTTGTGGGACCGTGGGTGTGCAGATACCACTCTTACTGTTCGACTTCTACAGAACTTTGCATATACATGTAAACCTTAAACCATTTTACTAATTGAATATAAATGTACATGTATGTATGATTTGTGTATATAATGAGTGTTAAACACCAATCAATCAGTCAATCATGTATATACATGTAATGATGTAAATTTTCTTTGAAGACAGGAATATGGTAAAACACCTGAGCAGAAAGTGACTTTTGAGAAATTGAATTTTGACCCCAGACATGCGACAGAACTCGGAATGAAACATCTGTTAAGAAACTGTTTAAGACATTGATGGAAGTCAATCCAAACTGTGGTTTTGTTAAATACAACAGTCCAATTGAATGCCATAAAGCAGATTGTGATAAGCAATTGATGCTAAAATCTGTTTACCCTTTAAGTATTCAAGAAATAAAAGAAAGAGGTGAGGCATTTACAAGAACATTAACTTTAACTAAAGAAGAAGCAGAAATCATTGAACAAAAATCAAAGGAGCAATCGAAATCAGCTGATTGGCATGCTGTGAGAGTTTATCGACTAACAGCATCAAATTTTCATAGAATTGCATTCCGCAGAGATTCAACAGAGGCTACAAAGTTGTTGAGTAGTTAATTGTACAACAAGTGTAAACCAACTTATGCAATGCAATTTGGATTAGAGCAAGAAGACACTTCTGCTCAACGATTTGTTCAAGAGATGAACAATAGGAACACTAGTACTTCTTTCAGTATACAACTAGAAAAGAAAGGATTTATTATTGATATAGATCATCCATATCTTGGTGCCTCAGTAGATAGAATAGTAACTATAAATGACCAAAAATATATTGTTGAACTAAAAAATCCACCCTCAACATGGAATTTAAGCATTGAGGAAGCTGCTGGTAAACTTTCTTGTTTGAAAATTGATGAAAACAATGTTGTGACTCTAAATAGGAGGAATGCTTACTTCACTCCAGTCCAGGGCCAGATGGCAGTTCTGAACATTCATAATTGTTATTTTGTTCTATGTACAAAAAGTGACATGCATGTTGAGTATGTTAAATTTGATGAACATTTTTGGAAGTCTGTAATGTCCAAACTTAAAAAAATTTTATAACATCTTTTTGTCTGAAATTGTGTATCCATCAGTTAAATATGGTCTACCAGCTTTAGATATTGGTATATCATGTATATTTAAGACATAAAAATACTTATCTTCAGAACAGATAAAGATCATAAACTTTTATTGTGTTTATTTCTTCTTTAAATGAAGTGAATTCACCATAAACTGTATACTGAGAAACAAAGAAAAAAAAGGACTTGCTGATTTAGTGCACGAATTTTAAAAAAAGGGGGGGGGGTAGTCCAAACAACTTAGTGCTTGAAGTCAGATTGAAAAATATGGGGTATATAT